AAAAAAAAAAAAATATATATATATATATATAGACACACACACACACACACAAAAGGGGACATAGAGCTTCTACATGCAAGCTAATCATGTTGGTTTTTATTTTTAATACTCAAAGTTTGAACTCAACAAAATTTGAGATGTATTTAAGACATGGTCTTCGTTTGAACAATGAGTTTCTGATCGAGGTATTTATCAATTAATGACAAATTTAATTTAAATTTTGAGTCTTACCGTAATCTTTCAATCAATTAATTGATGTGTCGTATCATCGATACTTAATAGATTATTTCTCTTCATGCTAATATCATAGTAGATTGATGATAATTCGAAGTCTATGTAAAAATGAATATTTTTGTAAGTTGTGCTTCATTTTAAAGTGCAAGGGTAATAATATATGGAACCACAATTTTTGTATGGCGATTGGCGCACCACCTTTTAATTGTGATTAATATTCCAAATTTACTCATTGTCACATTTATGTTATTAACATTTTTTTTGTTACATTCTTATTATTAACCTTTAATAATTAATACATTTTTTATCTGATAATAGTTTATTTCCAAAAAATCCGATAGGAGGCCCTAAAAGTTTAGGTCATAAATGCTACAATTAATAAAAGTTGGATACTTCATTGCAATTAAAATGTGATGCACCAAACAAAAATTATGGTGTGAATATAAATACCAAAGTATAATTTAGAAAGGGTAATAGTTGATATTTAAATTTTGATTTTGATATTGTGAAAAGAAAACTTGGATGTGAATAGAAGAACCAAAAATATAAGACAATATTGATATTAATAGAAATTGTGAGATTTAGTCCCGGTTTGAGTCCCACTATTCTCAAAATTCATTTTTTCGAATCTCATTTTCAATCACATATTCTTCCATAAAATAAATTAACAAGTAAATCAAAAACTTTTCCTATATTTTAAATACACATTCTCCAAAAATTCACTATTCCAAAATATATTATCTCCAAAAAATGAAGGCTCAAACGGGGGCTAATAATAATTGCCTACCTAAATTATATAAGATTTTATTTGGCAAAATTAATAAAACATTTAGAAATGGTCAAATTTTATTTCAATCACACATTTCAATAAACACACAAATATTATCCACTATCAACTCATTTTTATATATTTAAAAATTAAACTTTTTATAAATTCTTCTCAAAAGGAGACTAAATTATTTACGAAAAACTAACATATGAAAAAAAAGGACAAAATCTCACCAATATATGTTTGTTGTTGTGAAAAGTATTTTATTTTCATTAAATATAAAAATTAAAGATGCTGAGGAATGGATGAAAGTTACATTCTTTCATCGCATTCTATTCTGAGAGAAAAATGTAAGGTTGTGATTGAACTCCAACATTGTATATTACATTCTTCCTTATGGTAAAAAAATTCCAAGTACATGCATTCACCAAAACCACATGTATCAAACATTTATTTCAAGAGCTTAAATTTGACATAAACATCATTCGATCGTGAGAAACGTGTTATAATTTTTAGAGTTCATTTAATATGACCAAACACACACAATTCAAAAAGGAGAATTCAGTGAAATCATCAATTGAATTGTAAAGTTCCATTCAAAATAATTTTAGAAAGTCCAAACGAAATGTCATTATAGGCCCTATTTGGTCAGGATTAAAATCAAATTTTTTAGTATATTTTGATACAAGTTGATGAAATGTGTTGTTGAAAAGTTGTGAATTCCATGAAATATGTTATTAAAATTAATTGTTGACTTTAACTTAAATTAAAATTTGGATTTTAATCCCTATCAAATATGTGCTCAATATTATTTCTATAGTTAAGCTCCTTTTTTTTACAAACATTATTTGGAAAAAAATAATGCATTGAACAGTGATTTTTAACTAAATGTGTGATTAAAAAGTATGAAAAAGTTTTCTATTTATGTGCAGAATATTTATCATATGAATGCGTGGTTAAAAATGAGTATATTGAAAAAAGACATTTTAGCCCATGTTTGGCCCCCATTCTTATCTCATTCTCATTCTTATTTTTTTCTCTCTTATTTTCAACCACACGATCTTCCATAAAATAATATTACACACAAATTAAAAAAATTTAATTCTTTTTCAACCACACATTTTTCAAAAAACACCATTCCATCCATTAAAATTGAATAATGTTATTTGCAGTCGCTCACTGCGGCAGTCGTCCTACATGAGATACACGTGACAGGTGGTTATTTGATACATTGATGAATAAAAAAATTACCACATTAATGCATCAAATAATCACCTGCCATGTGTATGCCACGTAAGGCGACTACCGCAATGAGCGACTACGAATAACATTACTCATTAAAATTAGCTAAGAATGGAGGCCAAATTAAATAATGTTTGTCAAACCAGGCTAAAAAATTTTGCAAATCATTTTTAAATGTTGAACTCCAACCTTAAAGGTCCCTCACCGCTCCACTCTTGGAGTATCGTGAGAGAGGTTAATTGTTGGATGTACCTTAACAGGCCAGGGAACAAGAGTTGACTATATACTGATGCCTACAAAGAGTCTCAATCCATGTTTTGGGAATCGAATTTTGCAAATTATTTTTACACCCACTTGGTATGGGTAATACAGTAATTTCAGTTGTGTGTGTGACGTCATCAAATAGAAAACTTTTGCCAAGATTTTCATCTTATTGACATTTATGTCTTTCTAGAAGATCCTCCCCAAGGGGCCTAACTTCTTCTTGTTATTGTTGCTATTATTATTATTATTTGTTTAGTATCAGCTTCTTTTTTATTTTTTTTATTTTTTTAGAACTTGACTTGGCGATAGGAATAGGGTTCGGTTAAACCTAACCCTGGATTGGTTTAATTAGATTAATAGAATTGGGTTAACGTAATTTTAGATCAATTAAATGTACCTAACCTGGCTCACTCTATTGGTAGGATTATTTAATATTTACACATCACATACTAGCTTAAAAAGGTAACTTATATCATTTTCTTTTTAAAAGAATAATATAACTAATTTTACTGGTCTATAAAATTCAGCCAAACTTGCGCCTATAGTCAAAACTTCATTTGAAAAAGGTCCGAAGTGATTAGAATTTGATTCAGTAGATTCATCGACAGTATAGAAGAACATTGATTTAAATTTTTGAAGATAGATGATACATCAAGACTTCGACTTTCAATCGAGCTTTAAAATGTATTAACCAATCTAGAATTTGATATTGATTGAAATAAGAGGACAATAGTATGACAATGGATCTAACAAGGGTACAAAGCACAAATGTGTATAAAGAAGATTATTTGAAATCAATCTTAGAGCTTTCTATACTCCATGTGAGTATCATAGTCTTAATTTTTCATTATATGTGATAAGTCGAATTGTTGTCCTAAAGCCATGTTCTTCTTTGAAGTGATAAAATGTATCTACACATTGTTCTCTTATTCTCCCGATCGACGGGAAATTTCAAAGATAAAATAGAAGGTTCAACAGTTAAGCTATTATCATAGATATATTGAGAAAGTCACATAAAAAATGTTAATCGTATAAAAGAACAAATTGCACAAATAAGAGACGTTTTACTTGACTTGACAAACATTAGTTAAAATCTCAAAATATAGAGTGAATATGAATCCTTTAATAACATAAGAACTTGACAATTTTGAGTTCTTGCTTTCAATCTCTTAGAATAACTTGTTTCGTTCTTCGAAAATTATAGAGAATCAGAATTTTCTAGTGCCACGGATGAAGCTAACAAATGACGTGGGAAAATGCATCATTTGAAGAAGGACGTAATTTGATGAAAGTGGTAGCAATGAGATAATTCAATTGGCTAAAGAATCTATTAGAGTCTTTCTCTTTATAATCAATCAAACTAGATCATCACTCAAACTCGCTTGAATAATTTAAACGGTGAAGCTAACAAATGACGTGGGAAAATGCATCATTTGAAGAAGGACGTAATTTGGTGAAAGTGGTAGCAATGAGATAATTCAATTGGCTAAAGAATCTATTAGAGTCTTTCTCTTTATAATCGATCAAACTAGATCAT